TGAAGTAACAACAGATAGAGTGACGGATAGGGATTTGATAGGGAAGAATTGGATTTGAAGACATAATTACAACACATGAACAAACATGAATAAAAAATATTTAAAAGGTGGGAGAAACAATTTCAAAGAAAAGAAGATATGGCAGAAAGTAAGAATTCAAGTTGGACAAGAGGATAAGGCAGATAAATTAAGAGTGGTATTCTGGAATGTTATGGGTATTAGCAACAAGGAGGAACTTGTTTTAAAAGTGTGGAATTATTTTGCTGTTTCGAGGTTTCGACAAGGGAGAAAGATGGACTCAACACGTAAACGACGTACTAACTTTAAGCAAAAGAGTCGTGTAACGTGAAAGGGATTGTTCCAAATACCTAATCAGGTACAGATTTTCTTTGTCCATCTGAAATTATATGTAAGGCTCGTACGCTAACACTTGTGTATGTCTCTGAAGCACTTGTCGAAAAATATCGTTATTCTTTCAGAAGTATCTAGGCCAGTTACTTGATTGTTGATTTTGTTTTTGTATTTATGTATTAAGAATTGCTGTAACAGATCTAATTTCATTTTGTAATACCATAACCGGTATTATGATTATTTAGCATTTTGTGTTGGCTGAGGAAAGAAAAGTAAAATAAAATAAGTATATTAACAGACAAATCAGCAACGACGAAGAAGACATAAATATCATATGCACAAAAGCAAAGTAACAGCTACAGAAATGAGGTACCTTAGACGAATAATATGTAGGACCGGAAGAGATAAAGCCAGAAATACAAAAATAAGAGTGGAACTAGGGTAGATCCTTTAATGAAAACTATACAGAACAAACAGTTGCAGTGGTACGGGAACGTGATCCATATAGATGTTAAGTGGATCCCATAGAGGATAATGGAGCAAGAGGTGAAGGCGGAGAATCAGAACGAAGTGGCTGGGCAGCATCAAGAATGCAATTCAGCAGCAGGAAAGGAACGTTGAGGAAGTAAAGAGGATGGCGCTGAGTACCAAAAATGGTTGGAGGACTCGACACCGTAAGGTATAACGGAAAAGACAAAGAAGAAGAAGAAGTGTTGGCTGTCATTTGCTGACATTAGTTGGCTGAGTTAGTTAGTCCAGTATATATATTTGTTTTCTGTCTATCTACCCACCATTTACAGCATTGCTGTCCTAATAAATAATTAAAAATACACCAATATTGTTCAAAATATCCCTCTTAGTAAAGCCAATCAAATAGTAAACGTAGAATTCTAACATTGTACTTGAAGTTGATGTTAATGTTCTAGTGGGGTTTAAATTGTTTAAAAAAAACAGTGGGTCAATAATAACAAGAACGAAGAAAAGGCTCTTTAAAAAAAGGGGTTAAGCTACACCTATTCCACCTAACAACCCATTCTGGTAAAAAAAGACCATTGGCAAATGCACAGTATAGGTCTTTGTAAGGAAAATCTTGAGAAAAACACAATATAACTATCAGCTACTACAAGGAGCTAATACTCTCAGAGTACACCAAGATCCAGAAATTACAATGGACTGCTTAAGCAATTGCTTAACAAGAAAATGGCCCTCATGAATAAAATTTTAGCAATTGCTTTAAGCAATCGCTTTTTAGGAAAAGCAATTGCTTCACAAGCAAAAGCTAGCAGTAAAAGCAATGGCTAGATTATCGCATGAATAAAATTTTTAAGCAAATGCTGCCGTTCCTACATCTCTATAGCAATTGCTTATTCGAACAGGTCTCAACCTGCAAATTTAGATAATTCAACTTTTACTACTGTGTTGACATTAATACAACAACGTTGTTTTTAATAAAGTAACATTCTGTGCCATGGCAGATTCTAGTGGAAGTGAGGAATTTAACAGTGATGAAGAAATTGACAATCAGTCAAAAAGTAATTTGCTAACCACTCAACATTTTCGCGATCAAACCGATATAACTTTCTGAAATCATCGTCTCTGCAATTTTTACGTACAGTGTATATTTTTCGTTTACGCACATTCATATATTCAGCCATCATTAAAAAGCTTTTTACATGTTGTCGCACCTAAAAGTATACACTTTGCTTGTCACAACTAAAATTAAATTAATGAGTTATTATAACAGTTTATTGTGAAGGAACTTTCAAATTTCGTTTCGATGAGCTCCCGTTTAAATTTATATTCGATGACATCTTGAAGATGACTGTCACACAGTCGAAACCGGTAGAAATCTAATTTATATACAATAAATATCATCGTTTAAGTGCAATATTTAGTTTCATTAATTCACACGATGATAAGAAAAATACACAACTCGAATTATAATTAAAAAGGTTTAAATGAATAGGAACTCATGTGTATGCTGTAGTGATTTAAAGTTGACTGCACAACCAAATGATGCAAGGGTCGACCTACCTTACAAATATGTAAGCAATTGCCATACTAGAAAAAGCAATTCCTTAGTTTATTCATAACATTTTAAGCATATGTAAGCAATTGCATCTATTTTTTAAGAAAATAATTCGACTAGAAGCAATTTCTGCACTTTTAAGCAATTGCTAGCAGGAAGAGTAATTACTTCAATTTTTATTCATTGGTTTTCAAGTATTCGCTTTGATTTTGCAAGAAAAAGTAATTGCTAAATTTTTATTCATTAGGGCCAATGTAAGGATGGAAACCTTGGGGGAGGCTAGGAATATCCTTGTACCCAGAAATTGAAGGAAGGAGGCCATGATAGAGAATCTTTGAAGCAAAAAATTAAGGCAGGCCAGAAACCGATAATGGTCTAGAGTCTAGACCATTGAACAAGAAGTCAATGCTCTATTATCAATGCTTAAGTAAGCTTGGTTTTATTTACTTAAAACAAAAAGAGTATTGGTGCAGTTTTTAATTTTTCAATTAATTTGCAAAACAAAATACCGTTCAGTTGCTTACTGTAACGTATATATAATATATAGTGTATACGATATAGTAATTCAAATATTTCGAGGGTTTTGCAGTCGATCGTCAATATAAATTTTCAAAATTTGTCAAAGAAACTTAATATAACCCATTTAACTTTTTAACAGCTTTCCTACACTAATTAGGAATTAAATTAATTAATTGAAGGACGTGACAAATCAATTCACCGTCCATCGTGCTCGTCGTTGTTAAACAACATATTGTTGAAACTTCTTTTTTAAACTGTTGTTATTTATATTAATAATTTATATAATAATCTATAAAAAAGAAAAAAAAATAAATAAATAGGTGTCTATGATCATATATAAATATCATTGATTAAAATTCTGATTTATCCAACCCAAACTAATTGATATCAACCCTTCAAACGATTCCGTTTTCTAGCGGTTCCTAACGGTTCCATTTTTTGCGTTAAATAACCCTTCTTTCGCAACATCTGTGGTTTCAAGACATCATGATGATCTTTTTTGTCGAATCTTTTCCTTCTCTTTTTCGGTCCCGTTAGGGTTAGTAGCAATTAATATCGATGGACGATACTCCTACCTAACCCACCTGATGCTCTTTAAATACGTTTCTCGGGCAAAAAAACGGGTACAAGGGGAAGTTCTAAAACGGGCAGATAAATCTTCCTGGTTGCCATAGCATTTGGCAAACTAAACTAACTTTAAAAACCTAACGGGAACCTAGACGTTTTAACAACATCATCCGGAGATAAACATCTCAACCCTAAATTATCCCTCTAAAAGTGAAGTTTGAGAAAATTGGTTCTCACGGAAGTTGCAATTTTTGACCAATTAAATATTTTGGTTACATTTTTTATTGATTTGGGTGTTTTATTGATTGATGTTCTCGATTTGATTTTTGTCTTTTTGCAGTGTAATTTGATTCTCATTAGCGTTTACGTTGGCGGGGTTTGGTTTAGTTCGTGTTTTAACTTTTTCGATCGAAATCTAATCAATTTCGTTTCACTTTTTCATCGAAGATTCAATTTTTTTCCTAAAGTAAATTTTTGGTGGATAAAATCAGGTAACCCCGCCCATAAACGATCGAAGGCCAAGGCCACAACCGATGAATCTCTTCTTGAGGATAGCCTCAACGAACAACACCTCCTCTTTCCCTTCATTCCTCCTTTTCCGTCTTTTGCTTCTCTTGCGTTTTAATATTCCCGACTCGTCGTCGTCTTGCGAAGGCGCGACTTCTCAATCTCTACCCAAAAAAGACAAGGACGGAAGATAACGAAGGAGTCGCGCCGATAATGCGTGTGTGTGTTAAAGAGAAGTCGTCTGGTAGGTTCCTCCCGGTTTCGGAACGCACGCATGCAGGCAAGCATAGCAAAGCTGTGGCAAAGCAGCAAACGGGCAAAGAAGAAGAAGGAAGAAGACGACCGAAGTTGGTTTCGCCCGTCGCGGAACGGAGCGCGCGCGTTTCGGCGTATGTCCTCTAAAAGACCTCTAAAAGTTAGGTCATTGAATGTTTCGCCGCGCGCTGCCCGGGGCCGACCCTTGTCCTTCGACTTCGAATCCATCCACCTCCTTCCTTCTTCTCTACCGCCATGGGACGACTCGCGAGAGAAGTTGTGCCGTCTCTTCTTGCATGTATGCGTGCGTGCATTCATTCGGCAGTGCAACGGCCTCCGCAGGAATAAAAAAAAAACAGCCTAACTCAACTAACCTTATAAAACCAGATCCTCAAGCTTAGGCGAAGAACCATTTTATAATAGCATCAAGTGTGGCGTTTTCCTTTTTCAGTTTTTACATTCCAAACATACTAAAAAAGAAGAAATCAAATAAATATTAATAAAAAACAAATTAGATTAATAAACAATTACTTAGATTAATTAATCAAACAATATAAACGTTATTTACAATCTCGTTATAAAGAAGTATAATATTTCTTGTTATTTTGAACTAAATTTAACGATTTTAATAAACTAATTCTAAGCAATTTAAAAAGTCAAAAATAACTTGACAGATAAATAACCTAAAAAAAAATCACTTTTTTAGCACCACCTCTTGACGGAAACCAATATTAAATTTGCTATTATCATTCTCAGTTACCATCACGAAAAAAAAAATTCTACTTTACCGACCGGTTTAGCTGTCAACAAAACCAAACCGACATTTCTCTTTTTCAACAAGAAACCTCCATAAGCAGGTAATCTCAATATTATAAACTTAAATCTTGTATCATCCTTAATTCTATGCTTAAAATTCTATTTTTATCTCAAAAATACACCGTCCCCTATATCAATTAATACAAAAACATTGATATTTCCTTTTAAAGTTAACCCAAAAAATATAGATTAATTATTTGTAGGTTATGTCAAATGTGTTTTGATATTTTACTAAATTGTTGTAATTTTTTTAGGAGAAATGGCAAAAACTAAAGGTGATAAAAAAGGGAAATCAGCCATCAATGAGGTTGTCACCCGCGAATACACGATAAACCTTCACAAAAGACTCCATGGCATTGGTTTTAAAAAGAGGGCCCCACGAGCCATCAAAGAAGTCCGTAAGTTTGCCGTTAAACAAATGGGAACACCTGATGTCAGGATTGATACTCGTTTGAATAAACAATTATGGTCCAAAGGAATCAGGTAAGTTTTTAATTTTTTGTTTAATGTCGATTTTAAGCGAATTTATTAATTTTGTAGGAATGTTCCTTTCCGTATTAGAGTTAGGTTGTCTAGAAGGAGAAACGATGATGAAGACTCCGCAAATAAACTTTTTACGTTGGTGACTTATGTACCCGTTGCTACTTTTAAGAGTTTGCAAACGGAAAATGTTGACGCCAGTCAGGAATAAATAAAACGTTGGATTATTTAATAATAAAAGGTGTTTTGTTTTTGTTCCTTCAAATTAATTTAATTTGGGGTGTATATCCAATTGTAACAAAAAGTAACTAACATTTGAACAAGTATCTTGTAAAAACTTAAATTTCATTTTGGCATTTTCAACCTTGTCATAAAAGAATGTTTTATTAATTGTAAAGAAGAAGTTATTACTTTTTGTATTTACAAAGTATATAAAGAAAATATTTGTGCCAAAATTCTACCTTAAGAATTTATTATAATTATTTTCTTGTGTAACATTCTTTGTTGAAACCAAACTATAATATAAACTACTATAATATACAGGTGTTTCAGGTTTTTGTAGCAGGACTTTAACAGTCGCTAGATCTTTTAAAATTAGCACAAAAACTTCATATAAACAAACGCTTTGTTTTGAAGATACAGGGTGTTTAAGTAAGTTTAAATTTTTTAATTGATTTTTATTTAATATTAGACGTGTATTTCAACCGATTTTATTCAAATTTGGTATACGGAGGTTTTTGGCGTGAGAAATGAGTCCTTCTTATTATAACCGGTAGAGGGCGCTCTGTAACGTATTCTTTACGGATTAAACTAACAATAACTTTTCTGACAGTACACTTTTTGGCTTTTTGAATAAAAATTCTTATTCTCGGTACTTTTTTAAGCAAAAACGGCCCTCTTATCAAAATGCGCTAAAGTTCATCGTTTTCAAGATAATCCGCTTTTTGTTATTCGATATACAGTGTGTCCCCGGATAGGTGAAACGACTCTTATAAAAGGTAAAATTTTTTCGATATTAATTGTAATTTTTTGGGGTTTAGCCCTGCTTGATGAAAGACTAATTTTGAACAAATTTTCAACTTTTAAAAAACAAGTGAGTCTTGACAGTGAAAGAAAAACTTTTCTTGTAGCAGGTAAAGTACCTTTTCTGTTTACAGTACGTGAAAGTGTTACTAAGAAGTTTTGTTCAGAATGAAAAACTATGCCCATATGCAAATTTTCGGAATGATCGGCCTACTTTGATAAAAATCCATATCAAACAATTTTATTTCTAAAAAGACTGCCATGGAAAAACAAAATTGCTTTCCTGTCAATGTTAATCTGCCAAACTGTAATTTAGTAAACTTAAAGTGTTTTTAAAATATAATGTTCACATTACAGGAAAAAGTTTACGTGATTCAATGTTATAAAACCGGGGAAAAACCGATAAATATGGCTATTGCTTTATTTAGTGGAAAATTTTTAAATACTGGAATTAAAAGAAGTACTTGTTGGCGTTTAATCAAAAGATTTCTTACAGCTTACTTTAAGTATTCACTCTAAAAAAAAATTATGATGAAACTGATTAACTGTTTTCTTTTGTGGGCGAACACACAATTAATTTTTTGTGAACAATTTGAATCTCAAAACAAAAAATCTTGATAAAGTATCTAATCTTATAACTTTATAGGCCGATTTAGGCTGATGATTTCGAAAATTTGTATATGGCCATAACTTTTTATTCTGAATAAAATTTCTTAGTAACATTTTACCATACTGTAAACAAAAAAGGTACTTTACCTGACACACAAGAAGTTTTCGCTTCAGTGTCAACACTCACTTAAACTTTTAAAACTTGAAAATATGTTTAAAATTAGTCTTTAACTAAGCAGGGCTGAACCCCAAAAGATGAAAATTAATATCGAAAAAAATTTACATTTTATAAGAGTCTATCCGGGGACACACTGTAGACCAATTTTTTTAGAGGATTGTTAAAGATAGGTATACTTATTGCAAACATAAGTGTTAAATTAATTTTTCTTATTCGTTAACGTGTTAAATTCAATTTTCTTGTTTAATAACGTGCTAAATTCATTACTCTTTTTCCTAATCGTGTTATATTGTCTTTTTTCATTTTTTAATTTTTTGTTTGCTGCATAAAAACTTTATAAAATGCTGTTTATTTTACCTAACCAAGAGTTAGCTGATATTCATTTTGTTTATGGATTTGCAAACAGAAATTCAGCAGAAGTAGCTCTAGAGTATAGGAGAAGATATCCAAATAGAAGACATCCGCATCCTTCTGTGTTTATGAAAGTGCATAGACAAAAAATAGTCGAACAAGGGCTAAATAATGACGGGTAGATCGTAATAATGACAATGTTAGACTGCAAAGAAACTTTAGAAGAAGAATTTTGCGTGTGTCTCTTCTACTGGCTCTTCTACGAGTGTTAGAAGAGTTTCGAATGCCTGTTTCCTTGTTTGTGGATTGCTAAAGCATCAGCCAACAATCGAGATTTTTGAAATAATGTGTTGTGGAACGATGAATCGTGTTTTACAAGACGTGGGATTGTAAACTTTCACAATTTACATGTTTTGGTATCCCTACGCAATTCGGCCACGAAACTTCCAATATGAATTTAGTGCCAACGTCTGGGTAGGTGTTTATAATAAAATAATCATCTTTTCGGGCCATACTTTTTACCACCACAACTAACCGCTGCGGCGTTCTTGTAATTTTTGATGAACTTTTAATGGGATTAAGAATGCTTGTAATGACATAAGGCCATTCTTAAATACCGTTACTCGATTAGTAATTCGTCGGTCAGAATTATGCAAGCAAAATTTTTAACATTTTCAACAATTTCTTTAATTTTTTCTTTTATTATTTAGATTAAAAAACATTAATAAACTAAAACGTTAGTTAATTTACCTACTTTGTTTCCATGGCACTCATTATTTTAACTATCTTTAACTATCCTCTAAAAACATTGATCTGTATCCAATAATAAAAAGCGGATTATCTTGAAAATGATAAACTTTAGCGCTCTTTTTTGCTTAAAAAGTACAGAGAATAAGAATTTATTCAAAAAGTATACTGTGAGAGTAACTTATTGTTATTTTAATCCGTAAAGAATACGTTACAGAGCGTAGCTATAGTAAAACGGATTCCATAATCGTCTTTTCATGCCTCCGTATACTAAATTTGAAAAGAATTGGTTGAAATACACGTGTAATATTAAATAAAAATCAACTTAAAAATTTAATTTGAACACTTGTATATGCAGTTTTTGTGTTAATTTTAAAAGATCCTAAAAAAAAAGATGTTAAAGTCCTGCTACAAAAATCTGAAACACCCCCTGTATATATTATAGCAGTTTGGTTTATAAATTTCTATTTTAGACAAGGTGTTGGTTATTTAAGTGATTCTGGGTGATATTTTAAGGTAATTCCTTTATGTTTTTTTTTTCATTCAAGTGTTGTAGCTTTCGTTCACTTCCTAAAACGCTTAATGAACGATATTTGATAGTTTATACTACCTTTATGATTGTTGACTGTTGATAAAATTACAAATTAAGCGCCTCGCCCGCAAGCGACCTCAGCGAAGTACGGATAAACAATTTCTTATTCAAGTGTTACACGTTTGATTTAGTTTCTAAGACATCAAATAAACGATATCAAGTAACATTACTGAATCGCTTGCGGATAGGTCATACCAGTTTTACATTGACATCGACCATGTTGAATGATATTGTTCATTTGACGTGAAGTGAACGATATTATCTATTATCGCCGAGGTTTCTTGCGGGCCCGGGTTAAAAAGGTAAATACCTGGGTATTTATTTTCAATGGTAAATTTCCTGGATATATACCCGGGGGTATTTACCCAAGATGGGTATTTAGAGGAATTTATAAAATTTAATTTAAATTGAGTTGTTGGCAGTTTTGCAAGCACTTCAAGAATGCAGAGTCGATTATCGATACACCAAATTTGTTTATAACATCTACAACGGACGGCAAAATTGCATAAAAGTACCGAAAAGAGTAGAAGTAGTAAAGTACTGATTGTGAGTAAAACAACGCGATACAATGTTGAACTCAAATTGTTCATCACAGTCCTGGAGAATACATTTAAACAACTGGATTGGACCCAAAAAAGCATAAACATTGATGGCAAATACCTAAGTAATTTACGCTACGTGGACGATATAGTTCTTATTTTGGAGAGCCTTGGAGAGATGAAATTAATGGTGAACGACTTAAAGGAGGTGTTTGCAAGAGTCGGGCTAAATATTAACGTAAAGAAATCAAAATTTATGACAAATCTTGTTCCCAAGTCTAACATCAACATTGGGGATAATGAGATTGAGAGGGTTGACAGCTATGTGTATCTTGGCCATGAGGTTCGTGTATCGAGATAATCAAACAAGGGGACTAAACAGCCTATGAGAAACTTAGAGACATCTTCAAGAACGATATTCCTATATATTTGAAAAGAAAGGCTTACAATCAATGCGTGTTTCCGCTTATCACATACGGCTCCGAAACATTAACATTAACCTACGAAGAAGAACTGGGACAAAAAATGTGGTCAACATTGTCGCAAAGCTCAACAATTGGATTCAGACAGCACACAATAGAATCGAATGGAACAGAATAGGGAAGGCCTATGTCCAACAATGGCTTGATGATAATAATCATAATAACTTGATCTAATCTAAATTACGACAGATTCGTCTGATGACGTCCATTTCATCATCTTCCTCTTCATTTTTTCGGAATCTGATATATTTTTACTTGTATCACTTTTATACGTACTGTTTGGGTATTTATCCTGGGCCGAGGTAAATACTCGGATAAATACCCATTTTATAAATACCTACCCGTCAGGTATTTACCCAACACCCATCACTGGTTGTCATACATACTATTCAAACTAAAACTATACAGGGTGATTTATTAGCTCACCATCAAAATTTGACATATGATAGCTAATCCAATTACCAAAAAAAAAAGTCCTATTTCAATTATTTACGAAATTATAACATTTTAAAGTTTTCTGCAGCGAATTTATTAATATAGTCAGTAAAATCAAACATTCAACAAAAACAAAGTTGTCATTGTAATATGTCAGTTTACTGTAAGGTTCAATTGTTACATACATGAAGAAACTCATGTTTTACACGATATGGTATCATGTTTTACACGAGATGGTATAAATAATTACCATAATGAACATATCTGGGCATTTCAAAATCCGC